GGTAAAACCATCTGTTATAGAAATGCTCCGTTTGCTTTATGCGATCCATCTGTACCTGGTAATGACTGAGTAGTAGGGCTGCTCAATTAATCATATTTTTTAATCGCAATTACGATTATGGCTTGTAACGATTACGAAAACAACGTAATCAAAATAAAACAAGTATCTTTTTATGATTACATTTTTTTTTATTATTGGTTTTTCAGTTGAGTTATACTTAAAGTTCAGGGTTATCAACTGTTAAAAACATACTGTTCACATTTTTTTTCTCTCCAATAAATGGATGTTTTCAAAGTAAATGGATAATCGTTTTTAATAATCGTGATATCAATTATTGACCAAAATAATCGAGATTATGATTTTTGCCGTCATGGAGCAGCCCTTCTGAGTAGTTCTGCTCATCTCCACGTCTACATTTTTAAAGCTTTTGTCATGCTCCATAATTGTTGTACATCTCTGTGGTATTTGAAGATATACAAAGGTCTGTTTGCATTTAGCTCCCAGGCTACTTGTTCTGGATTGTGTAAGATGTTTGGATACACCAACAGGTTGACTTTTTCTACCTTTGTGAAATACATTGATTGAACTATAAAAGGACATTTAAATGTAACTGTTTAGATGTTTATCAGTTTACTAATTGTGATCCAAGCTTGCTTCTCAAAGTCCAGAGTTAGATGTTTGCAGATGAATTTGACCTTATTATATTTGCTTTGTGTTTGAATGTTACAAGTGTAGAGAAGAGTAAATACTTACTGCTAAATATAAGATCATTTAAGAACTACACTCTTTGATCAAATGTCCAAAATAGTTCATTTGGATGAATAGTAGATATATGCTGTGTTTTAGGAAGGGACACTTTTTTTTGTGGCAGTTTTTCTATATAATATAATTTGATGCACTTTCATAAACATTTAGTTGGTTTGGCTTTGACATGTGTGCGCTGTGTCCCTCAGATGCCCAGCTGACCAGGGAGCGGGTGATCCAGACCGTGGACAGTGCGGTGCAGGGCGGGGACGGCAGGAACCTGGCCCTCGGTTTACATCAACTTCCTGTTCGTCTTGTTACTCAGAATGGCAAACACACCGCTGCTGCTGCTGCTGTTGCCACAGTAACCAGCTTTGCTAATGCATCTGGTGAGACTCTCCTGCCATCACTGCACAGTCATGATGATGCATGTCAATGTTTCTGCTCCAAAAGATGGATTCAAGCCATCAAGATACAGATGTGGGCATTGTGCTGGGCAAACCACTACTCTTCTCAATTATTGCTTTTTCATATTATTTAAAGAATACGTTCAGAACATTATAAGAATCAACTTGTTCTTGGAGGAGGACACTAACGTCACTGTAGAATCAGTGATATCTCACTGGAAACAAATCTTACATGACAAAAAACGTCCTCAATGCTGAGTGGTGTTTAGATTTAGACATCCAGCAGGGTTTGCCAAGTTTTAAGATACATAGAAAAATAAGCAGCTATACCTCTTACTGACAGCTTTTGTTTTTAGCTTGTTTTAAAGATGAGATACTGAGCTGTTCTTGTATAACACATAACAAATATGCAAATGACTGTAGACGGAGCAGAATAAAATATTGCATTTTCGACATGTTAACATCTTACATTTATTTTTAAAAGGTTATTGCTTTTTACGTGCCTAGGTTTTATTTTCCATACTTAGAGTATCAAGCTTTGTTTAAGGGTCTTAGCCCCGACAGTGAGAACAGAGGATGTGTTGCAGCTTGATAACAAAACATAAAAAACAGTTTAAAACAAGGCTACCTGTGTAATATCGCGTTTTCCCTCATCACTCATCAGATACTGACCCCACCTGACTCTCCCTTCCCTCTTCTCCCCCCCCCCAGGCCTGAGCAGTCCTCTGCAGATCCTGGCTGCCCAGGCCTCCAGCTCCCCCCCGGTGCTGCTGAGCCGACAGCCGGGTGCAGAGTCGTTATCCGAGCACCCCGGGGAGCCGCAGTCCAAGCGGCCGAAGATGGAGGACGGGGGCGGCCTTGAATCTGCTCAGCATCAAGTCACGCCGGCTCAGCAGCCTGTCATCGTTGCCATGACAACACAAAACCACGACCCCAGGAAGTAAAGCCCAGGGTCTCTTACAGGTACCCGATGGACCGCCTCCTCACGGCCCCTATCTGCTTCTTTTATACTCATTTGATATGACTGCAGCTGACACGGCCAATACATGTACAGGCAGCCTCTCTCAACAGAAGGGAAATAAATTGTAAGGAAAATATATTTTGGTCAAAAATAGATACAAAAACTTTCAATACATTCTGAATGTAAAAAGCAAATAAATCTTTCAGGACTTTTTCAGCTTTACAGTCTTTTGAATGTAATCCTTCATTCACTGAAAACACAGATGTTAAGCTTACGAGAGCATTATGCATATTAAATCATTTGAGCACTACTTTACTACGTGAATGTTGGATCATATCTCATCAGTTTCTCTCTCAGGCCAAAGAACTCTCCGGCACTTCTGATCAGTCACTGCCTGATTTAGAAAGCAGGGCAAGTGTGTTCAGAGATTTGAAATGGCTGGCATTTACAGAAGAAACTGTGACGATCAGAGTTTATATATTTTGTAGTGTCACACAAACCATGGACAGAAATATGGAGAGGACTTAACTGTGTGTACCCAGACCATTTGATCGGGCTTGGGAGACTGTTAAAAATATGATTGTACTTCTCATATAGCAATCCCTACTGAAAAAAATATTTTCTCTGAGTAAAGAAAAGAAAGATGTTAACATAAAGACTGAGACCAGAATGTGAAATTGTCTATCCTTCTTGCTTTTCTCTGGAAAGCATACAACAAAAAGAAATTGGGTATTGTTTTGGAAGATATGAGGAGATCCAGGAATGAAAAAACAGGACTCAGCAGTTTTTGCTTCACTTCAGCTCAGATCGGTTTATCAGTGTGAAGCAGACTCGACAGGATCCGTGTGACTGGACAGCAGACGGGCGAAACAAGAGGCATCTATTTGGAAGTGATTGAAGTGGAGCTAACCTAATGTAGACAAACTGATTGTTGTTTTAATTTGTTTTCTTTTGTTTCAGTAGTGGCAAAAGGAGAAATGGAACAGCCTGTGCGTACACTTTTGTTTGTCTTAGCACAGAAAAGCATTATTGTAATAATCCTTAAAGCCTTAAAGATTTCTACTTTGTCATTTTATTTTAACCTTTAGACAGCTTTACCTTTTTTAGTTTGTAAACAAAGCGCTTCTTTAACAGTACAATGATCGGCAACACTACAGTGGTGACAGTAATGTCAGCATCCGTAGACTTATCAGGGGAAGGGCGGGACCAACACATGACCACACATTTCAACTGCTTCTTTCTTTCTTTCTTTCTGTATGGTACTTTTGAATATTTTCTACTCTTGGCTCCCCACTCTTTTGCTTTCAGTTTCCTGTAAAAGCATTAACCTTTCTCCCAATCTACCTCTGTCCCTCTCCTCAGTGAGCAGTCTCTAAAGGCTCATCACACTGTTGGCAGTCCTTGTCACAGACACTGCCTCAGCTTTATACTCTTCAGCACTTTCTCCCCCCCCCCCCCCACTCTAATCTCTCACTGCCTTTAGCTTTCCCCAACCTCCTCGCACAGGCCTCATTTTTAGCTGGCAATCAGGCACAATGTGCGCAAGATTTCAGTGATTGTTGTTGCACATTATTAGAAAACAAACAAAAAAAGATGCGTAATGATTGTATGCTGCTCTATCTGCTAAATGACAAAGCTATTTAGAAGGTATTTTTTCTGATTTTTGGAAAAAAAGAAAAAATATTTTGCTATTTTTAAAAACAGCTGTCATCAATACGTAAACATTCTGGAAATAGAGAAGTATATGTATTTTTAAATGTTTCTGTTTTTGTGATTTGTTAAAATGTGTAGCACAAATTAAAATTCCTCATTGACTTAAATATTATATTGCCTTCTTTCATGTGACCGGGGTCTGCAGACTCTGTCGCTCTGTTGTTGGGACAGTAGGTGGGTTTCTACGCAGAAACATGAACAAGTATTTAACAATCTTTATTCTTAAGTACCATCATGTTTCAACAGTATAAATAATGAACAGAGAATAATATACATGCATGAAATCAATGTCTTAAATCCTTCAAATCCACACAAATGTAAATGTTACTGCAAATAAATGAACATAAACAGATTAAAGCCAAGTTGTACAAACCTGATGGGGGGGGAAAGAATGAGCGATGGGTCTGACATTTCAACACATTTAAATCATAAATAAATACATTTTGGTAATTTCTCATTGAAAATAGTGGCTAGTTTAACTTTCTCTAGTGGGTTTTGGCCAGTAAAAAATGAGCTAGGTATTTTTATATATTAATTGGAAGAATGATTGGCAGATTAATCAATAATGAAAACCGTCTAAGTCTGAGCTTCTTTTAGTAAGAGAGCCAATAAACATCTGGATCTGCACAGATGCAGCGTTTTTATTTTTACAGAAGGTCACTATGTTTTGATCCACAGAGCTGAGGGCAGAACAAAAGTCCGGACAGAACTGACTAACGTGGCTTATTTTTCCTTAGTCACCTTACATTTGAATCGGGGACTTGCATTGCTTTTTCTTTTGAAGGTGACTTGGTCTTGTTGTTGCTGGTCTTCTTTTTAAAAGGGTCCATTCAGCCAAATTACACGAGGACATGTCTGCTGTTTTGGTTGCCTATATTTGTAGATCTAATTATTAAACTATAGAATTGTCTGCAACCTATACTTCCAGAAAAATATCCCTATAACTCTGGATAATCCACAGACATCACAGTGAATTGGGACAACTTTATATTTAATAAATAATCCTTTTATGGTGACATATAGTGAGGTCAGTACAGGGTTCGAGTTATGTGGGAGCCAATGGGAGGTGAGCTCCCATAAGGAGGGGTCTGAGCTCCCATCTGTGGGGGTCGCTAATACATTACCAACAACCATTATTTTAATCACAAATAATGTATTTTTCAATGTAATGACTATTATTTAACATGTTTTCCAAAAGAACTACGCATCGTATTCTCTCTTGAATGACAATATGCCTTCACTTCACCTCAAAGGTATATAAATATCACCCGTTATTAACGTTATTACCCGGCTGTCATTGATATATTTATCTCCGCCCCTAACGTCAGTTTTAAAGACCCCCATAAAACTCAGATTATAACTCGAACCCTGGGTTAGTATATCATCCAGAGAAACTGAAAATACGCTATCTCTGGAAAGACAGCTCCTGTTTAATGTTTAGGCGAAATTTGATAATTCTGTGAACAACCAGGAAGGGTTAGAAGGAAATTCTTAATCAGAAATATCTCAAACCTCAAAAGGGACTTTAGCTAGATACCACCAGTAAGACATGCTTTTCTGTACTTTGAGTAACTGCTGAATCAAAGTGCAGCTAATGACCCTTCTGGAATAAGAATTTCAGAAGTCGATTCTTGTTAATAGTTCTTGAATTCTTTAAATGTTTCAAATAAATCCACAACTATATTTCTGCCATTTTAGAAAATTACACTCCTTTTTTCCATCAGTATTTTTCAGAGTCAAAGAAGGTTATAGAGAAATCCCCAAAATGTAGTTTCTCTTTTGAATGTCCACACAATATGTGACCAGGTGTTTCATATTTACAAAGGACTATTTACACCTCAGATAAATACCGCATATATTGACAACAACACAAGTGTAGCTTATACACACAACGATTGAGCATCAGAACCTGGAGTAAAGTTTTTGGTCTTGATGATCCAGTCATTAATAAATAACAATGTCCCCCAGCAGCTGCACATCCCCTGTGCACGTGGAGCATCCGGAACTCCTCCGTTGTCCGTGGCGGGATGAAGTCCATGATGAGGTTAAATGTGAAATAGGGGAGCTGGGCTGTGTCTTGACTTTACTTCTTCCTCCTTTTACAGCCACTCTCTGGTGCGAAAGTCAACATTCATAGAGTCTGTTGAGCAGACAGGGCTTTGGGAGTTGTTAACAAACAGGATTAGAAAACATTCCACTCTAAAAGCGTTGTGTAAAACATCCATCGAAGAGAACCTCGGCTTCATGTTTGTCTGCAAGTGCTTTAAGAAGTACAGTCAGTTCGTGTCCACAGTTCCTTGTTTCTGAGAGATGGGCAGCTATTTCACCATGCTACTGAAAGTCTAGTACAATTATTCTAAAATTCATGTGGAAAATATCCCAATGTTTTCACATGCTGCGAGCACCAGCCAAAGGGAAATTCAAACGTTTTAAGTTTGCTGTGCTTTAAACCCCAGGCTGCGTACTGGCTGGCTAGACCTCGATTGCCTCCAACGCTGATTAATTAGGCGGCTTTCCCTCGCAGCGTCTCCCTTTGGTGTCGCCGTGGGTTACGGATTCTGTCTGTCACACAAACCCAGTTGGAGTCAGCGTGAGGGCAGCGGGTCTGGCAGCTGTGGAGTCGTGGAGTGTTAATCTCCAGTTTGATTGCTTGGCTTTGTGCTGTCGCTAGTTTTCACACCCATATGTCATGCTGTGTGTGTTTGTGTGTGTGCTGTTCGAGTGCACACATCTGTATCCCGCGTCGTCTCGCTGTCCTACCTCTCCCTCCCGTGTTGTGCAGCGGTTGCTCGGAGACAGTCAGCAGGAGGAGGCGCTGATCTTCTCCGAGACGTCGGGGTCGGACTTGGCCACCAGGAAGCGTAGGCGACCTCCTCCCAGGCGAATCAGATCCACGGCGCTGAGGAGGAAGTGAAGAGAGACAAAGAGTCCGGTTACTCAGAGCTCAGCAGAGACTGTCTGGGCTCACATCAATCAATCACAGTAATCAATCAGCTTGAAAGGCCAACAGCCATGGGTACGGTTAGCATTGTGGGGAGATTGCTCCCTCTGTCACCAAACTCAATATCACCCAGCAGTATCGTTAATCTCCTCCAGCCCATTGTGGTGGTCACAGACAGCTCCAGTGTACCTCTGGTAGTCGGCTCCGATCAGGCTGGTCCCGTTCACAGCCAGGATGCGGTCTCCGATCCTCAGCCTGCCGTCAGACGACGCCGGGCCGTCGGGGATCAGAGTTCGGATGTAGATGCCTGGAGCGTTGAGAGGAGTGTGCTGCGGGGGGGACAAGAGTTATAGTTTGAACAGAGTGAGAGTGTCCATTATGTAGCTGGTAGAGAAACTCATTTATACTGCGGCCAATGAAGACACATTTCCTTCTTTTTAATACCCGAAAGGTTTGCGTTTGAACTTTTACGAGACACTTGTAACGATAAAATCAACAGTTTTTGTTGTTTCTAAATCAGGTATGTAATGTGAAATTAACTGCAGGTAAACGTTGGCTTCCGGAGTCTAAATCTAGAGTCTAAGGAAATATCATATTCAAGTTATAATGATATAAAATAAGCAATTCATCAATATTGAAAATCAATAATAACATGACAACACTGTGACTTCCTAAACTTTTATGGCCACTATGATTTTTCAAACATTTTTTTGACATACTAAGACTGCTCTTATAGCATTACTGTTTTTAACTTTTTTCAAGAACTACTATACTGTGTCTTTTTAAAACTTTTTTTAACAGAAAAATACACCACTGAAACCTGGACTGACAGGCAAGATAAAAAGTGAAATCTGTTTCTGAACGTCTGTGTACTCACCAGGCCGTCTATGAGTCCCATGCCGAGTCCGTAGGGTCCTTTGTCCAGTTCCACTACAAACACCACACACAAGTCATCAGGAAGGGGAGGGGCGCCAGGGGATGATACAGGGAAAGGAAACTCACACCCACTAATACACCCTGCAGGGGACACGGACACCCAAATGCACAAAAACACACACACACAAAGACACAGACACACAGGGTCTTGCTATGGGGTCGGACAAACATGAAAGGTGTTACTGTGCAGAACACACACACACAGATAATGAGACACATGCTACATGCTACAGACCTGATCTGACACACACACACGTGCTTCTGACAGAAGGCTGCAGATGTCACACTCACTACACTGTAACATGCAAAGGAAATATCCTGCTGATCTAAAAGCTCCAGTGTATAAACTACAGAAGTGCACAGAAAGTAGTGTACGTTATATCGATTTGTGGCCACTAGGGGGCAGAGTAACTCCAAAGCAACCAACAGAGTAACCCAATTTTAGATCTCATTGGGCTCTGACTTCCAACTGTGTTACTAGCTAGTGGCTTAACGAGCTTTTCTCCAATGTGAAGCTCAGCATGAGTTTATTAGAACGTTTTTTCAGAAAACAACTTCTTGCTGCAGCTGGAAATGAGAGCAGTTGACAGTAAATGTGTTGTTAAATCAAATGTATGAGCTAACAGAGGCTAAAACTCTTTGTTGTTGATCATTTTTTTTTTGGCGACAAGGGACCTCTTTAACATTAATGTTTTCGTTGACTCCATTCATTTAAATTATTTGGATAATTGCAGCTTTGAATAAATTAAGAATTGCACTCATTTTGTGTAGGTGTTTTCAATATGTCTACATTGTCTGATCCTTGCCTTTAAAGTTAAGTGAGTGGAGAAGCACAGAAGAGGAGACTGAGACGCAAAAGTTAATGTCCAATGTAAAGTGTCCTTTTCACATTGGTCAATTCCAGGGGGAATTTGAATGTGATACTAGCAAATGTATTTTCATTATAATATGCGACATTGTTTATAATGCAGTGTATATACCATATTGTTTATTAATATAAAGTGTAGAGATGATCCAAAACACTTTTACAATATCATTTAGTGGATGTGATGTTGGCGCAACAACCTTGAGTTTCAGTAATGCAGTTAAAAAATATGTTTGAATTACATTGATGCAGGATCTCAAGCATCATGGTACATCCAATCATATGTAATCTAACAATGCAGTGAGATAATCAGACACGGGATATTAACCCTGAGGTTTCTGAATCGTAAAAACTTGGCTGAATGAATCGCTAATGTTATGTGTAAAGAACTGCAAGGCTTAATACTTAAACAGCAGATGTGCAATGGAAAAAATAACAACACAATATGTGAGTTAGTAAATCATATTTTTCTTGAAGCTCACAATGTTCTGTCTTAAAAATATGTATCAGATTTTTTTTATGACAAGTTGAACTGTGGTGTTTCTGTTCTGGATTCCTTTATCATGCTCATGTGTTCTTGTTATTTTGTCCACCCCCTGTATGATATTCAGCCTACCCTCCAGTCCATTGCTGATGAGTCCGTTGGTCTTTTTACACTCGGCCACAGTTCTGCTGCCGCAGCCGTTAGTCTGGGCGATGGGGCCTATGAACTTCCCTCCCCCTCCCCCTCCTCCTCCCCCCCTCCCCCTTCGTCGGGGTACAGCGGGGTGTTGGTGGGGGTCAAGAGGCAGGACGGGTCTGGATTTGCTGTCCGGGCGTGGTGGATGGTGCCGTTCCTCCTGAGGCTGTGTGTGTGTGACTGGCCTGGAGGCCTCTCCCGTGCCCTATCCTCTCCCGGCTCCCCCGTCACCTCCTCCCCAGGACCCCCGGAGCGGGGACTGCTGTGGGCCGGAGGCAGCGACTCCCTCTGTGCCGGGATCGGACAGAAAGACTTTAGAGGACAGTATGAGGAGAGGACGAAATGATTTGAAAATAAATATTCCTATTATCTTTGATCTTTTGTTTGTTTGAGATTCTAAAGGTTTATTGTCATGTGCACAGTCGCTACAGTGTAGTTATGGCAATGAAAATGTTGAGACCCAGGCTACTCCAACAATGCAACATAAAAATATATGTTAGACATAAAAAACTCTTAAACTAACAATATAATAGTGCAAGAAGAAACCGAGTAGAATAAAAAGGTGGAAGATTATCTTGCAAGACCAATGTGTAAGTAATGTAGACGAAGTAAACTACATGCATGTACAAAAACAACATCAATACAATAAGCTAAATGTTGCAGAGAATGTTGCAGGACAAAACAGTCCAATTAAACAATGAGTAAAGTTATGTATAATCATTTTAAAGACACATAGGATATTTGTTGGTGTACCTGTTTCTTTGTGCATGAAAATGTGTATATATGAGGGTGCAGTAACACTAGGGATTATGGTCTAGTCAGCCGTTCCCACTAATTAGACAGCCTGAAGACTAATCAGATTAACCATGATTTAACCATGTCTAGGTTTCTGTGAGTGTGTGTGTGTGTGTGTGTGTGTGCGTGTGTGTGTGTGTGTGTGTGTGTGTGTGTGTGTGTGTGTGTGTGTGTGTGTGTGTGTGTGTGTGTGTGTGTGTGTGTGTGTGTGTGTGTGTGTGTGTGTGTGTGTTGGCTAGAGTAGAGGGTTTTTGTCTTTCATTCATGGGATTATGGAGGAACTCCTCAAAAACCACAGCTGCCGAAGCACATGGCCTGGATTACTGCGAGGTATGTGCGTCTGACAGAGTGCACAGTGTGTTTCCTGACCTGTACGTCGGGCCAGTCGGCTGTGTTGGTCCCGTTGGAGTGTGTGTGCACACTGGGAGTGTTGGCGTGTGTTTGCGTCTTGGTGCGCAGCCCCCACAGGTAGTGGCGGATGTAGAGCAGCTGTCTGTAGATGCTGTCCTCCACACACTCGCTCTCCAGGTCCACTCTGAAGCCGCCGCTGGGCAGCACTATGGGAGGGTGGTTCTCAAAGCTCTCCAGGAGGTCCACTAAACACACAGAGACTGATGTTAGCGCACCTACACACACACACACACACACACACACACACACACACACACACACACACACACACACACACACACACACGCACACACACACACACACACGCACACGCACACAGAACAGCTCCCTATCGGCCTGTGACTTTTCCTGTTTTGCATTTTTCACATTTAGAACTCCTACTGGATAGCAATTGAATGCTAACCACAGCTGCTAGTTACAATAAATGTGAGATATAAAAGATGTCCTCGTCTGCGTTCAAAACAAAAACAAATGTTCTGGTTATGATCATGTTTAGACTTTTAAAAGTGCATTATCTTTAGTATAACTTTGAGATATGTTTAGTTTACCTGAGTAGTTACATGACATTACATTTAAGTGAGAACAACAATTAAAGTTCCCTTGCAGATTCAGATGACTTCTACTAAATAAAAGATGATGCATTCAAAAAGACATACTGTATATAAAGTAGTTCAAACTTCCCCCCTTTTGGCAGATGAGTGTTAAAACAGCCCTTTGGTAATACAGTCTGCACGTTGAAGGTCAGACATCACAGTGAAGTTATTAAAAGCAAAACACGTTTCTGAGTGGAGGGGACACCTTAAATATTAATGTAACATTCTTCCAACAATGATTTTAAGGAGTGTTAGACTAGTATATACTGCAGAGGCTAAACGTTCCCCTCTTATAACACGAGGGCATTATGAGCCAGCAATCTTTCACTCACTGGTAGGGCAGCGTATGGCCAGAAAGTGATGTCGATACTGAGATCACAAGGAATCATTGATTTAAAAGACAAAATCTATTTTTTTAACTATTTGGATTTTTGTGCTACATTCTTGTTAGTGAATGAGTCTTTACATCAAAAGAAGATGCAGAAAAAGGTGCTTCTTCACCTAAATTCAGTGCATTTTTGTTTTGACAGTGTGCTATATATTGTACAATACAACAGAGAGCAAAACAGTATTTTACTTTACTATTCTTCACTGGACTGCAGTCAAAATGTTCAGTAACGTTTTCACAGGGTGCTGCATCAGCGTGTGCATGCAGAGGCATTAGAGCTCCCCAAACTCTACTGTGGCTGGGTGTAAGTTTAGAAAGCGCATGATGTTATAAGCAGCAACGTTTTTCATTTTAAGCGGCTCATTCAAAGTTGATGGTTGGCAACTCAAATAAAAATGTACCTGTTCTGTATATATACGCCTCGTCCTCGCTGCTGGGCTGCCATGATGGGACAGGGCCTATCTCTGCTGTGAGCTGGTACTGGGTGAGGATCCTGTGCAGCTGTACTGGCTTCAGAGCCGGGTGCTCACTGGACAGAGCCCGCCAACTTAACTGCACACGGGGAAGAGAAATGAATCAGAAGTCCTGGGAGGTCAGTGCTTTCCAGTCTTGGAGGTGAAGAGCAGTGTGGACGGATCCTGGCTGGACCCTTCAAAATACGTCATTAATCAATAGCTGATCTGAGTTACATGCTTTATGAACAGCAGTTCTTTCAAATGTATTTAAAACAGTCAACTTGATTACAGTCAATCAGGGTTGAGCAGCTGTAATACTGATAACCTCCATTGAAACACATTTGAATACGGTAAGCTCTCTTTATATATACTTTTGATACCTTATTAGTGCTGGCTAGCAATGCTGTTCAAGATTTTAGCCGACTATGTGTGTGTGTGTGATACCTGTGTGAGCTGTTGTGGGGGCGTGGCCAGTATGGAGACAGCGCTGTTGAGTTTGGTGAAGAATTTGTCGGCCAGGTGTCCCAGACCCGACTTGCTCGCCCACTCCATGACCATCCGCAAGCACGCCTGAATCTGCAGCACCTTCGACCGCTGGAACCAACCCCGAGATGGACCTGCACACACACACACACACACACACACACACACACACACCGAGACACACACACACATCCTGTAGTGAGTGTTTGGATATTTTCCTCTGAGACACTGCAGTACATTTTTTATTCTGGGTGTGTGCGTGTCTAAGGGAAGGCAGACTAACACAGAGACAGTGAATGTTTCTCTGCATGCGTTGTACGACAATACAGAAATACATTTGTGTAAGTAATTAGATTTTGAAGGCAGGGACACAATGGGCACAGCGCAGAGCAGCCTGCTCCTTGCAGAATACAAATGCAGCGCTGCAGCGGGGCTCAGATGACATTCCTCACTCTGTAATCCTTTGTTTCTCTGCATCACTTCAAAGAACTGAAAGGAAGTTTTGTTGATGGTTAAGCAGGCGATAAATTGAAATCTGGCATTTGTCAATCTGTCCTTCCATTACCTCAATGCAGCTATAATGACTATTTAATCTTTCTGAAATACCCCCCAATGTGAGATTAGACCTCTGCCGGGGTTAGGTACAAACAATGACAAACAACTGGACTAACGTTAACGACACCCCAGATGACAAATTAACCTCTCTTGATACATTTTATAAAAATAATTAGAGACAAAATAAATGTAAGAGCCATCTTAGCACATACTTATATTTAGTTTAAATGTTTTTGTTGGCGTGAAAATATTATATAGGTTCTCATATAATTTAATGTTATCTTTCCATTTTTGTGACCCTAAAAAGATTGAATCTACCAATCGTTGCACTTCTGACAAAACATAGATGTGAAGGTAAACATGTTTAAAACTGGAAATACAGATCCTTTTAATCGTCAAATGAATCCTGACAAGACTGTTTTCTTAAAATGATTGAATGTGAACACATATTTTTATGCTGAAATTAACAGAAGAAGCCACTGTTTTCTGATACTGTAAGGTGTTCGTAGCACAAAATCAACAGTTTTATTTATCATAGATAAATCAAGGAGCCTTCTGGTGACAGAATGAGTAAACCTGATTATTTTCAGACAAACAATGCCACCACAAGTTAGACATGACAGGAAGCTTCATGCATCCTATCCACTGACAGCATAATGTGCAGACAGCACACACACATACTCTAACCCTTCAAATATTATGCCATATGTTTTAGGTGCACACACACACACACACACACACACACACACACACACACACACACACACTGCAGTGGAACTAATGAGCAGTGCTTTTCTGCTGAGTTTGACATATCAAAAAAAAAGAGGAAATTAGACCAGCTGCTTTTTGCGTGTCTATGTTTATGTATGTATGTGTGTGTGTGCTGTGCACCTGTCTTTCTTTATGTGTGTGTTTGTCTTAGTGTGTGTCCTTACCAGCAGTGATGGTGTCCTTCTCTTTGGCGTTGAATTCCTCCACCTCTGCCCTCCTGCGCAGCTCAAATCTGCGAGCGTGTCCCTCTCTGGGTTTCCAAAGCTCCTGGAGCAACAGCGGCTTTTCGTTGTCCCCCATCGCACGCAAGCATTCGGTTCGCCACCCCCCTTCTCCTATCCCACCTTCCCCCTCCAAACGCCCGATGACGTCGCACAGGACGTAAGAGTGGGCAGCGTTCTTGTTGAGAGAGTAACGGTCGAGTGCCTCTTTGACCAGCTCCTGGGCACTGGAGCGCGGCGTGGCCAGGACGCTCTTGTAGTTGGCACCGGCACAGATTTCATCTCCAAAGATCTTCAGCACCCCCGGGGCCGAGCTCTGCGTGGAGAGTTCGGCCGGGTCGTCCGTCGGTCGCTCTGGGGGTTCAGTCGTGGAGCGCCGGTCCCCACGAGTGTTTGTTCCAGTTTCTACTGGGACACGGTCTCTGTAACTCAGAGTGCGGTACAGGACCTGGGGAACAGACAACCAAAGCTGAATACACTGCAAAATGAGCAAAAACCTAACATCAGCATGCTCACCTGAGATTGTTGAACATACGGATTATTTGCAGGAATAATATTTACCATGTTTGCCATCTAAGTTTGGATTGTAGCATGCTAACATTTGTTATTTACACAAGGCATCAAATAAATGGTGAGATATTTCATTGCAGAGTTTGTGGACTGACTGACTGATCAACGTTGAGTCATGCTCTTAGCTAGGGGATACAAATTGAATGTGGTATAACACAGGATATATGTGTGGTAACTCAAATATTGCAAAACCTCAGCCAATAAAGCCAAATATTTCTACTAGGAAGTATACCAAAGGCAAGTGAGAATTTGAACTGGCCCTTTCATCTTATAGGTAGATAGACTTCACTAAAATATTAGTTTTATCTTGAAATTGAGAGAGCGAAATACTAAAATGGCAGTGTGTGTGTGTGTGTGTGTGTGTGTGTGTGTGTGTGTGTGTGTGTGTGTGTGTGTGTGTGTGTGTGTGTGTGTGTGTGTGTGTGTGTGGGTGTGTTTGTGTAAGTACGTGGTGGATACCTTGATGCTGTTATTTATTATCACTCCAATGTGCGGCAGCACCCGGTAAATGTTTGCAGTTGTGGGTCAGATGCTTTTCATTGCATCACCTTTCACTGGAGAAGAAAGAAAAGACGACGTTAATGTGAGTTTATGAGTTGAAAGCAGAACTGAAGCCTTTCTGCTGAGATCTGGATCGTTGAGGTTACACTGTTTGCCAACGCCCTGTTACATAAAGTACCTCAAGTTTAAAACTTAAGTTTGTCCCTTAGCTAAGGGGTTCATTTATGAGCGTGAAGCGTCTTGGGTTGAGTGTTTTTACTAAGACTTATACATTCCTTTAACATGAGCTTACAGCATTATTGTCGGTGTGAGCTATTTAAGTTATAATACAAATATATAATATGTTTTGTATAAAATAAGATAAATGTTGAAGATTCATCGAGTTGTGCATCACTCATCGTGTCCAGAGGGTGTTCCTTTTTCCCTATCCGGAAAAATGCATGTTAATATCTCCTCCTCTGTATTCACAATGAAGACGGCCGTTGTATTATGCTTGACACATTATTTCACTTTTAGGAGACTTGTATGCTAGCACAAACTAAGGACCTTCTTGCAACACATAAGGGAATCCTAAAGTAGCTAAGAGCACACACTTTTAGATCAAAAGGTTTTCCCCCTTAACATCCAAAGGAAATCCTTATGGAGATTTAATGCAAATCATATTTTCTTGAAGGATCCTTCAAAAAATTGATTTTATGCAACCAGACAAGGATCCTTCAGGGATTCATATAATATCGCTGTGGCTTAAAGATTCAAGTGTCAACATTTCAAATCATATTATTGCCTGCCCAACAAATGTATGACTGAATTCTGGGCCATGACAGTGACACCCCCGTCGACAATTCACGAGCGTCGAGCTCTTCCTCATAATTTCCCGGTAAAATCAAGTGTCCCAATCCGACCCTTCTGATATACATAGCCTTTCCCTTCAGAATAGGCTAGTTTAACCCACAGTTTCAATTAATCTTTGATGACTCACTACTAATGTTTGTATTATTATTATTATTATTATAATAATAAACACTACATTTTCGAATTCTTAGAGAAGTCTCAGTTGTTGATTGAAAAGCTGGAATGAACACCGGTTTGCCATTTTTGCCAATAAATCTTCTGGTTATCCACTCAATCAACAACATTTCATTGCTTGTTTCCAGTTCTTGACTGTGCGGCATTGTTTCCCTTTCACATGCACCACATTTTGATGTATTCTCCTAGCCATCTTGTGATCTCAAATTTGGTGCTACAGATTGTACAAAGCGCAAATGAAGAAATGCTATGTCTGCCTGGATTCAGGTCATACATTTATCTCATTTAACAGCTCTGTTTGCAGCCCATGTCACTGCTGGAGAAGAGTCACGCTTCATTCTTGGCTCTGCATGAATCCCTTTGACCGATCAAGTCTTTTCGTGAAGGTAACATCAGCAAGCACCTCCACATTTTAAAGCCACTGTGGCAGCACCTCACACACGTCTGTTTTGATTGCAACTTGTACTTTATATTATTTCCTTTCAGCAAATAATTGGCAGGCAGCCTAAAAGGTGTTGTTGTAGCTGACTGGTGGGATAACGTGACTATTTTAAATGCCTGCTAATCCACTGTAATCTGGCTACTTGGCCGCAGTTAACTCAATCCTGGGACCAACAAACCCCTTTGGTCCAAACAAGGAGACACAGGCCTACATTTTGCATTGGCAGGTTGTGTTGTGTGACCCAGGAGGTAGTGTTACATTTGGTTATCATGTCACACAGACTACAACTTCCCCACCACCTTTTTTTGACTTGCTGTCTGTCCTTGTCTAGACAGCTAGAAGGTCAGATATAAACGCTGCGTTGGGAAAAAAACTTGACACCAGTAAAACATGCTGGATAATATTGTACAGATTACATAACGTGTGATTACTACCGGGTCTGCCCTTTATTCGGTGCCTGTCCGTCTGTTTACGACTTTGGACTCAGTGGTCGTCAGTAGCAACCGCCGTGGCAACAAAAGGCAGGAGAAAATCCTCAGAAATTAATCCGATGATGAGTCGTCAGGCGCGGCACTAAAAGCGAGCAGCCCCGGCCTCTCCCGGTCAGCAGGTGTGTGATGTTTGAAGTCGAGCCAATCAAACACAATTAATAATCAATTAGCGGGAACACTGTTTCGACAGGTGAACACTCAACCACGACGATACAATTGGTGATTTTAAACTATAAGGGTGATAAAAGCTGTGGGGTGTCTGCCCTAAAATAAAATAGACCCCGAAAAAGTTGTGAGAGCCCAGCAGTGGCAAGCCCACTCCCCTGAGGGCTCTCCCGGTTGTCTGTTGCGTTTGTACTCACGCTGCCTGCAATGCGTGGCTCCATAGTGCTGGGGAATCCTTCTTGGCTTCTCTCTCATTCCTTCTCCCTGTACAAGATAGAAAATCCCCGGAAAAATAGGAGGGGGGAAAAAAACCAGCGAGAGACACCGAGACGTCCGGGGCCGCCACACTCATCCCCAAAACAGCCCGTTAACTTGGATGACTGCCAACCGTGGAGGGCTCCAATTTCTGTACGCACATCTCCGCCGAGTGTCCAGCAATGCCCGCTGCCTCCGGCAACCGCATTCCCACATCCACAGCGGTTCACTGCCGAGCCCAGCCGGAAACTCCCGAGTCCTCCGAGCCGCCTCACCTCGGCGCACCTGCTCTGGCACCAGAGTGTACGGGGACGGCGCCCCCTGGCGGACACCGGCGGTACAACATGGATGTAGACCAATGGAGATCCAAATACTTAAACATGAACTAAATACAATTACGAAATACCTTTTTATTTTTTAAATATATATTTAACCATATTTGCTTTACCAATAAGGGCAATGATAGTAAACGTCATATACGTTTGTTTTAAAATACAATGTATTTGCTATAGGCCTATGTGCAGTAGCCTATGTATTGTGACTATTCATATTTATAAAAAAACATTAACATCTGAGGTGTGTGATCCCAAATGTTTTTGAATACAGCCTTATTCACCGCACCTGAAAGTTTGGTGTATTCAAAATACGCTGAAACGGGTTAAAACAAAAACATTCAGATATCATACAACGATCCAAAGATCAGTCTAAATAGATACTTAATTTAATTGTATATTTGCTTTAATTTTATGATGCTAAAGTCTTACCTTCAACAGCTTCTGAAGACAAAACAGGCTTTTCCAATCAAAACTGACAAATACAAACAATGTCAGTATTATATGGCTATGCATATGACATGTTTATATACTTTTCCTTCTCCCTTAAGGTTACACAATAACAGTATTTGAAACATCAAAGTGTATAATTAAAGACAATAACATATCCTTTCATGCCCGTAAGTATGTTTTTTGAGTTACTGTGTGTATTGAGTTGTTGGTTGTTGTCTTTTAAATATATAAGTAAATAAAATATATAAAACTCATGAGTCCAGGCATATACTGCATGAAAAAGCTTTTTTATTACAAGAGAAATAGAAAAGATAAAAGCATTGTTGGCGTCATAAAGGCGTATCACTTCACAAAGCACCACAGACACGAAGAAAAACCAATATGATATCTAAAGAGAAAGAATATGAGCTAGTATAGTCTTGTACGACCAGAAAGAAAAGACCAGTAGCACTGAGAACAGAGTCAGCAGCTCCACAATCACAGAGCGTCTATAAACAATGTACAGAGGGTCCATGAAGGCTTCATGGAGAGTTTAGAAAACTCTATACAAAGTTAGGTGGGCACTGTATGTCTGAATGAGACAGATATCATAACCAAGACAAGACAGACACACGTAAAATCCTTAAATACTTAATTTTACCGTCACAAAACACTGGCTGTGTTAGGCTCCATTACCCCCGATTACTCCAAAACTGTAAACACTCAATCATTTGGTGTTTGTTCATAGGCTAACGTAAACACATAGTTCAAATACTTAAAGTACTTTAAATGTGAGAATATTATCTGAAGAGTGTCATTCCAAACTGAGATATCCACAGTGTGAAGAACGTAGATTCCCAGTGATGATACATTTGTTCAGACATTAAATTACCCTAATGATTAAAAAAAACGATAAAGTAACCAACGATAATAACAAGGTGGGTTTTTTCAGGTGTTTGTTGGAAAGGTGTTGCAGAACTATTAGTGTTTTTGTCAGATGATTCTCCTTTTAGACCATAAAGTATAATAATGCATGTATATGCTGTTTGGTAAGTTGTAACGGTAAAATGTTATGGTTATATTGATGAAAGAACATTGCAAAGTTTTTTCCCTCTATATCTACTGCACACATTATTGTTTGTCACAGTGTATTTTGTAGCAAATCAAATGCAGATGTTGCAGATTTGACAGCAAATCTAGAGCGGTTGTGCAGCTTGAGTGTATGTATGTTCTATTTTAGTTTTATATTATAATCTTAAAAGACACATTTATGTAGTGGTTGTATGTCAAAGTCTATCTGGCTAGAGCTTTTCTCCTGTTTGGTTATTTATAAATATTATGTAAAGCTTCAAGAAAACTTTTGTGACTTCTGCCCTACTTAGGGATGTAGAAAGCTGTATGGTGTGTTGCCATTACTTAAGAAAGCAGCTTCAAAGCTATTTGATCATTTTTGTTTCTGCAGACAGCGCTCAAACAACCGGAGCAGCTTTAGTGGTCCTTGAATGTGGCTTCACAGGCTTTAAAGCCCAAATGATCCAAATCCTGAGAGACGGACAGCAGCAGAAATATGTTGAACAAGAGCAGAAGTTAAAAAGAAATCTCTTACACCTATGAATACTAGACGATGTGACCTTTTGGTCCTCTAGCCACATTTATCACACTATACAAGCTCGCCTAATATACGTTGTGCCACCACATACAGCTTAACACTAAGAGTACATATATATGTCAAATATACTTTTTATGTGTTCAAGGTACATGCGTTCACGTGTAAACATAGACTCAGCCGATTACAGGCGTTGGATTCGTGGGAGTCAGATATTATAGGATACATACAAAGACACACTCATACTCTCATACACACACAAGCACACACAGACACACACCTGAGATGCCTTAATATTGGGCCAGATTGTTCAACAATACTATAGCTTCAGTTTCCTTTCAAGTGTGAGACGTTTATGGTAGTAGTGTGCTATCAGGTACGGCAGTAAGTCTTTTGGCAGTGTGATCAGACAGTGGTTTTCCTTTCTGAGGTTCAACCATGTAGCTTTGACAAACTCTATCAATTGGTCCCATTCCCATTCATTAAGTTCAATATGATGGATATAATCAACTGATACTTTTTAGTACATAAGAAGAAAATATAAATGAAGTCAACATACACTGTACGTCATTAATACATATATACTGTACTGATGATATCTTCACTCACTGACCCTAATGAACAACAGTAAATTATTATAATTCAGTTATTATGGTTGAAAATCTAATGAGTTTAGTTTAGGTAGAAGAACACAATTTAAGTCACCAAGACTAAAACCATAAATGCATGTTCAACATAAAAAAAGATAATTCCACAGTCATGCTTGATTTAGAAATCACAGTAAATCACTGACTGAAGCAACTGCTGTTAACCCATGTAGTAAATGTACTGCAGTGTATAGCACAACTAGTAACTATATAACAGTAACACTACTATCTAGGGTTCTGAATTGGAATAGTAAATGACTGATGTTGCAACCTCCTAAAGTGAATTTAACCAGAACCTGTTAATGACACTTGAAATAATGTCCAGAAACTAATTATGATAGTCGAGTCAGCTCATTGTAAACATTGTCCTCCTCTTGAAAATAAGACAATGTCCTCAATTCAGCATCTGTATCTGAATATGCACCACATAGAATAGTAATGTAACCCCTGATCATTGGAATGAAACCAAAGTTGCTGCAAAAATAACTTAATATTTAACTAAAGTACACTGGTTTGAAAAAAAACAAAAGCTTTGTCCCAGTTCACGGGCTGCCTCCTTTGAACTGCAGAGTTCTCAAAAGAGAGAAAGGCTGCCTCAATACAAAGACTCCTCAGAATGCACCCTTCATTTGGCAAAAAAACCTGATGAACAACTCCCATTATCAATTACAGTATGCTGGGTAATTGCTTTGTGATGCGTTCAGATGTCTTCATCAACTCATCAGTGATGTTAATAATTGCAGGCAGTTAACAACTAGATTAATTAAAGTAATGTGGTTACATTTAACATTACACTAGTATACTGCCACACACTCAATTTTACCTAATAATTATTATGTCAATTACATAACATTTCTGGCCATTTCTGAGTGCAACTTCATGGTGTTAAACATGTTTCTTTACTTTACAAGTTGATGAGGATAACCTAAATGCACCTTTCATTTTCAAACCTGTGATGCTTGACTGTCTTTTTGGTGAGAATGTTTTGCCCACTTGTTTTTCAAAGGAGGTAGCCACTGAATTGGTTCACTGCATGTATCACCCTCTTAAAGTTGCTCCAATACAGGAGCTACTTCCTGTGAGGTCAGCGCTGATGTCATCTGGAGGTCTGGACCTGATTTGGCGGCTGGGCGTAGAGGTACTTCCAGATGGCGTAGTAGTGTATGGAAGCTCCCATAGCTACGAACAGGTGCCAAATGGCATGAGCAAATGGGACGATGCCATCACTTTTAAAAAAGATCATCCCCAGACAGTAGCAGGCTCCGCCCGCCAGCAGCTCGTACAGACCAGACTGCTCCGTCTGCAAAGAGGCAGATTTATTTTTATGTTTAAAGACATTAAGAAAGGACAAAACCTCAAAGACACCAGGTGAGAGTAAATGAGTGTGCTCACCATTGAGAGGATGACCAGGGCCGGAAAAACTCCCATCACCATATAGCAGATAAGCTCTGTGATCTTATACCTGACACATAGAGGAACAAAGTCACCACAAGACTTTGGGATTTTAGTTTTTAAAGAGTTTTAGAGACTTTTTAGTTTTACATTATATGTATAAATTGTAATGCATTTCATTAAATGTTCAAAAAACCTCGATAGAGTAGATTACCTCAGAAAAACAATTTGATATCTCATTAAAGACAAAGATGAATTGATGTTGAGCTTAATTTACACATAGCTTAACCATCTCCAAACAAAACATTTAGTGTAGAAAAGTATGACTTTAGCCTTATCCAGCTCTATTTGCTGATGAAGATCATGGGATGCAGTTGTACACTCAGGAAAGCTAGTGAGTGGACCTTTGAGGTGATATTAATTTGTTTCATGGGACTACGTTTTGATTACAGTAATATAAAGAAAGACAGCCCAACATAATTAATGTATGAACTGACCTCTCATGAAAGAAGAAGACATAGGTGGTTCCAAAAGAGGCCATGACCCACACCAGCCAGCGCATGTGACACCCCCAGGGACCCAGCTCCCGCAGGTTCAACCTGTTGGACAATGAACAGGAACACATAACTACAAATACAGAATACAAATACATATATATCCAAAAAGCAGGCTAGATTGTTTACCAAGGGGCGTAGGAGGCAGCAATGAAGAAATAGATCACCATCCTGTCACACATGTGGAAACAGTGCTCCACAGACCTGAGGGGACAGACCACACAGCGTCATGACAACTGAGTGACACAATACATGTCATTTGTTAGACGCTTTTATCTAAAGCGACTAACATACTCAATACTGTGGACAATCCCCACAGGAGCAATTTGGGGTGAAGTGTCTTGCCCAGGGACACAATGACATGCTGACTGCAGTGGGACTCGAACTTGCTATCCCCTGATTCGAAGTCCAGCACACTACCCACTGAGCCACAGCCACCACACTGTCCATACTTGTAGCATCAGCAAGTTTTAGATCTCAAAAACAAATATGCAGTGTGGGGATATACACATGTTGCTAGTATGTCTCAACGGTTAAAGAGTGCAATGTCTGTTGTAGCCTTTAACCATTAATATCATCTAAAATGTTACGATTAGGTCCATGTGTTGTGTTGAAATGTGTGCAAGTGTTTTTATTTGTGTGCGTACCGTAGATGGCTCTTCTTCCAGGCCACAGTGTGGAACAGGGTGGAGATGATGAAGAGGGAGCTGAGCCCCGCCCCATAGACCCAGGCCGACAGCCGCTCCCATTGGTCCTCCGACTGGAAGTGCAACAGTGAGCTGCCCAGCAGGCTGGGGATTATCCATAACTAAATAAATGCATAAAATCAATTAAACATGAGAAACCGATGACAGATAAACATGCAGGATGAACTGAAAACTAGTGCCTGATGTAGGTGTAGTTTAAACAGAATCTGGAGGAGCCTCTCATCTGTCTGTTATGTAACTGTGCCGTATTTTTCTCCTGTTTCCTCTGAGTGTGTCATTTTATCTGTGTGAGGGTTAATGATCACTTGGTGTGTGTGTGTGTGTGTGTGTGTGTGTGTGTGTGTGTGTGTGTGTGTGTGTGTGTGTTGCATTCACCGCATGCGTGGCACAGTTGGCAGCATGCTCATAATCTGTGGGCTGATATCTCTTGTTGGGAGGAACACGGTTGTTCATAAACCTGAAATCATCAGAAATGAACAGATTTAAGTAAGAGTGCGACATTCTCTTAACACTAGCAGAGCAGAAAAATATGCATTTTTTTAAATGAACAAAACAAAAAGTATAACTATATGTAAATTATATATATTTTTCTTTTTGCAAACAACAATAATATGTTCGCTTTCATATTAATGTTACTGTGTGATGAAATATATATAACTATAAATAAAATCAGGGTTCAAAATGTGCGTGTTTCATATGGTATCACAAGGATTATAATGTCTCTTCATGATGTCCTAAAACCACGTGTAAAATCATTAATATTTGTATCCATTTGTATCAGTCAGTGGTGCTCACAAAACTTCACCCCATCCTGTCCTTTTGCTTAGCAACGCTAGATCATGCTTCAACTTGTTGCCATGACTGCTGTTGCCTGGCAACAGAGGGGTAACCATGGACCGACTGAACCGACAGAGGGTTGGTCTTGATGACCACTTTCATAAACAATTCACATGTACAGACTTTCACACTCACAAACACACTCTCACACTCACTCACTCACTCACTCACTCACTCACTCACTCACTCACTCACTCACTCACTCACTCACTCACTCACTCACTCACTCACTCACTCACACACACACACACACACACACACACACACACACACACACACACACACACACACACACACACACACACACACACACTCCCCTCCGTAATAGGCTTACGTCTACAGATACAGTAATCTATGTGTGAGGCATCACTAAAGACGAGACATCACTTAACCTCTTAGCAAATGTGTCATAATGCTTCCTAGCAGCTGGTATACAGACACATCAGAGTCTTTTACACTCTCCGACAAAAGGTGTGACAACACACACTCGTACAAAAGCAGGAGAACACAGAGCGCCTGCACCGTATCACATCTCTTCCGTAATATCAGGCTGTCAGAGTGAGTGTTGCAGAGAGCGCTCAGTGCAAGCGTCAGCGTTACCTGCCACAAACTCACTTCCCTGTTACCATGGACACCACCAGTGCAGAAATATCAATGAGCGACAAAGAGGAGAGCGAGGGAGAGGAAGAGAAAGCCAGACAGACGGAGAGAGGAAGGTGGAGACGAGGAGGAGGAGGGGGAGAGAGGAGCCTCCGCATGAATATAAAGGTATTTCTCCTTCTGCCAGACATGTGATCTCTCCTGTCTCCACCGGCTAATGAAGACATATGGCGGGAGCGTGAGGGTGTGTGTGCAGGCTAAAGACACAGAGGGACGATGTGGAGAGGTTGGGAATGATGGGTGGTCAAACGCATGGAAATAGCCGGCAGTAAATGACAATTTCTGTTTTTAGACAAAGTAATAGACCATTAGCACGGTCCTCACAACAACTTCCAGCCCTTTACCCTTCATGCTGACCTTTCCCCCTCCTTCCCCCTCCTTCCTCTAACTCCTCTCTCTCTCCTCCATCCACCCCCACCTCTCACCCCCCGATGGCCAGATGGAAGGATGGAAGGCAAGGAGGAGGAGGAGGAGGAGGAGGAGGTGAAGGGGGGAGAAACAGAATGCAGATAGGAGAAGGGCATAGAGGACACATCTAGGTTAGTCTCTGTCAAAATGCTGACAAGGACACAGGGTCACACTCTCTCTCTCTCTCTCTCTTGCACACACACTTACAACTGTACAAATCCTGAGGGGGCTCTAATGGAGTGTGAGTGTGCATGCTTTTTGCACTACCTTTGTCCATTAGCTGGTTAAACAGCGACACGTTGGAGAAGAAGAAGAGGTAAGCGAACATCTGAGCCTGGATCTCCGGGTGGACCTGGTAGCTCTGCAGAAGCTCCTGGCCGTTCTGAAACACCTGCACACGCGCACACACACACACACACACACACACACACACACACACACACACACACACACACACACACACACACACACACACACACACACACACACACACACACACACACGTCGCTTTGAACAGACATCCAAATAAACAGCTCAGGAGGTAGCATCCCATCAGTGATGTCACTGTTGTCATGGAAACCTCTGAGCAGGGATTGTCTTTTTTCCCTCTCTCCCACTCTAGAAAACTCCTTGTTTCTTTCCTCTTTCTTTGCTCATCTCTGCCATCTCCCTCTCCTTCTGCACGACCATGTCTCCTCTATTGTTCCACAATGATTCAATTAACATGCAGGAAGGCAAATGGACAAAGACGTCCATGAAGACACACACACACCCACACACACGACACGATATGCACATACATTCACAAACCACAGCCCCTCCCTATTTTTATGCTGCATCTTGCAGAGCCAGATTTCATAAGAGACCTAGATTTAGCGATGTCTCTGTCTCTTTCCAACACACACACACACTTTCAGATTGCTGGGACTCAAAATGAGAAACGGGCAGCCACCTATGGGAATACCACTCAAATTAAAAAAAATCTATTTATGTTTGAATATTTAAGCACAGGACAATCAATTCATTCTTTCAGTGAAGTTTCAGCCAAAGCAAGAAGCTTAAACACCTATCAGCATCCTCATGTAGTGCAATTTTAATACTTACATCAAGATGTCTCCTCAGGGAGTAAGTTACAATTCTCCACACAGAATTTCACAAACGATTCAGTCTGAGTGTAATGATATCACCCTTTAAATTGGTCCACTTTATATCTCTGTGTTTTTGTGCAACAACGTGAAACGGTAGAACATGATGTTCTCCTCCTACATGTTAACAGTTTCCAACCTTCTTTTTTTTAAACCTCATATATAACACTCCTGATCCTTCTGTAGGTGTATCAACAGAAAATGCACCTCACATGTGATGATAATGATAGGAACAAACACCCCTTCTTTTTTTAATTTCCTCTACAATGTGCTCCTGTTCCGCAGGTAGATTATTTTAGAGCAACACTCATTCAGAGTTATTAATATGAACTGACCAGGCCAGAAAGAAATGCTCTCTTGCCCACAATATAAGGCTTCTTAGCCCTGCATCCAGCGCTTTGGTTGGTGTGTGTGTGTGTGTGTGTGTGTGTGTGTGTGTGTGTGTGTGTGTGTGTGTGTGTGTGTGTGTGTGTGTGTGTGTGTGTGTGTGTGTGTGTGTGTGTGTCAGTGCCAGGCCCAGCAGGCTTGGCCGGCTCATTAATGACTTTATCAAGCTGGCTGATAATTATCCGGCCAGAGGCCAGGCAGAGAGACACACTAAGTGGACAGAGAGGAGCAGAGCTGCAGAAACGTCATGATATCTCTTCTCATTGGACAGCAGGACGGACAGAAGGAAGGCTCTTATTGTCTCACTGAACCGTGAAGACCGAAACCTCCTTCCAGTTAATGGTGAACATGAATTAATCTTGCAGCCTGTTTTATGGTCAAGCTACTTGTCTTAAAGTATATGTACAGTGTTAAAAGGAATGTTAACAATGTGTGCTTAAAGTGATATAAATATAGGACTTTGGAGATGAGATTTGTAAATATGATTGTTTCCATTACTGATTAATCTGTGAATCATTTAATTAATTGTTAAGTACAGAAAGGCCCAAATGAATACAGAAAGGGGGCTATCACACGTTTGAGCCATTTTCAAGAGGTGTAAAACAACCACAAACTGTAGATGTTCACATTTGAAAACAATAATAATAACCAGACTAGTTGCCCAGCTTTAATGATTATGAATTTTCATAATCTTTGCGGATAAATCATCTGTCTATTGAGTCATCAATTTATTATTAAGCTCTAAAATGAAGGTTTGTATTAACATAAACATAACAGAGGCCCAAACAAAGTCAAAACGAGTTATCCTAAAGAAGTTAACATATAGAAGTTGTGTACTTGTGCCGGACAACTTAGCTAAATATATAATCAATAATGATCATTTTTCTACAGCCTCAGTCTATACATGACAGCAGACTGAACCCAGACTTTGTAAACAGCGGTTTTCCATATGTGATTTAAAGCATGACCTAGGTTTTTTTTTCACATGAACAAAAGCCCTTGAGTTTAAAATGTCTTATCAGGGTGGTCTGTTACACTTTTTTTTATAACTGAAGAATAATTTCACCTGTATGCAAATTCCAACCTCTCCGATTGCTGATTTATCAGTTTAAATGTAATATATTTGGGTTTTGGACTGCTGGGTGAAAAAACAAGACAATTAAAGATGTCACCCTGAGCTCTGGGAGCCTCTGAGGCTCATTCTGTACTATTTTCTCATGTATTACAAACTAATCAATTGAGCAAGCAATCAGCACATTAATAGGTAATGAAAATAATCGAAATGTGCCATCCTATCATCCTCTATACTCTGTTTGACCTCTTCCTAAAGAATGATATCCTGGACCAAGAGCTTTCATGTGTAAGTCCAAATATAAAAGGGGATGTTTTGTGGCCGACTGTGTGTTTCAATAAGAGTGCAATTAGAAAGGGAAAAACACAGAAGAGACCGCAAGATGAGGAGAATGAGGGAAGTGTGTGTGTGTGTGTGTGTGTGTGTGTGTGTGTGTGTGTGTGTGTGTGTGTGTTAAATATGAGTGTGTTTGCTCACCGGCCTGAGCGTGCAGCTGTGGGCTGGGCAGGGCGGACGACTCGTACGACGGATGGCTGCCGGCTGGGATGGCAGGCA